AAAGAATAAACTGTAATTTTTTTCCTGAATGCCGTTGATCCTCAAGATTCTAAGCTTTACAAACTACTAGAAGGTGTAGCACATCTCGATCTTTCCAAAATCTTAACACGTTGACGACCGTGTGGTATGATGTCATACCACACTCTTTCGGCCACGTGGGACCGTGTGACATGATGTCATGTCACAGTCTTTTTTAAGCTGGTTTTCAAACATTTTAGGTAACTTATTTACGTGATGTATGCGCCATACTTAGGCATTGTTACAAAAGGCGTGGTCCCTGGAAAGAAGCTTCGGTTGATGGGCTATCGAGTTTTTCTAAAAATGTTTGAATAATGATCAAATCACAGGAATCGCTAAAATGGCCAAAATCGCATAATCGGAGACCTACCACACAAGAAAGATAACAAATACACACTTTCCTGAAAAAGGAGTTCTCGTGGGTGTGACATGATGTCATGTCACACTCGCGCGGTCAAAATAATGCGCGCGGTCCCACACGCCAGACAGCGAAAAATAGCGCGCGGTCGTCACGTGTTAAGAAGATGACAGATTTAGGGCGTTTGTGTAAAACACTGAGCGCAACCAGTTATGTATGCCTGCTCAAAACATCAGATAGCGCAGTTGAGTCAGATCCACACACCATGTGACGACGCTTGAACAAAATGTGTATACTTTCTGGCCAGGTAAAACGATGATTAGTCTGGTTAGCTGTATTCATCAGTTGCCAGCTGATTGCCATTTCACTACCATTATTGGCTATCATTATGAATCACTAGTTACAAGATTCACTTGGAGACCGTGGTCACTTGTGGTGTGTGTTCTGCACTAGACGCGCTTCTGGTTTTCTGAAGCGGGGGGTGTACACAATTACTTTTTCGTCCTGAATTCCTTCGATGGTCATTAACCGTTGGCCGTCCTCCTCCGTTAAGTAAACACTGAAGTGGGGAAGGCTAGAACAGTGGAAAACCCTTACGTAAATTCAACTCCCATGAAACCCTACTTCCAAGCTACTCAGCATCCGCGCCCGGACGAATACGAATCTGGGTTCTTCGTACAACCGAGTGGACCACTTCGATAACCAAGAACCCGTACACATTTGGTCAGGTACTTTCACTATTTTCATTTTATCAAGAAAAGCTGTACTATTCCCTTCTACTGATTGAAAGTTATGAATTAGTTCACGCTTATCCCTCAGATACGGAGAAGTAAGAAAGATACTGTGTGCGGTGAACTCCTGAGCGTTTAGGCGATGCTACTACAATAAATATGCTAATTATTCAATTCAAATTCATGATGGGGACGACTTTGAAGTCACAGTTAAGGTTAAGTTTTCCGAGCAAAAAACTCTCGAGGCTTTTGGATTCCAGGACAGACAGCCCTAAAATAATCAGAGAGAAGAAGGCCTCATGATAACGAGGGAGTTAAGACCTTATGTAAGGTGAGGTCAGCCTTTCAGTGATGACTCTCATTTGGGAACTCATATGGTAAGAGTCCGGATTGCAGCTGGTGCTGTGGCTTGTCGCTGGTCTAGAATCGGCAAGAACTGGACTACCCGCGTAATTGATCCTTGCGGGCTAGCGGCTGTTTTTTGTTGATATTGCCTTATGGTGAAGTAGGCGCACATGTTGGAGTGCGACGACTAGGAAAACGCACTTCTCATACTGGTGCATTTACTAGCATTAAATTCTGTAGAGGCAAATCAAGCCTTCCACTTATCCGGGGTTGCTTATATAATGTTGAATTTGCTTCTGATTATATCTGAATGCAAACTGCATTCATCACCTATATTTTTCGTGATGGAAACGGAATGCATGGCGCATTCCAAAATTTTATTGATGCCATGGACCAGGTACTGGTCAAAAATTGGCCAATTACAAGTCGAATGGTACTGACCATATCCGGCTCCGGGAGCATTCCGTGAGGAGGCCTTCCCAAGTGGACTCTTCGTAGTATTCTGCTCTGTTCAGGGGACATCTTTGCAAGAGAAGCCTGAAATTTCAGATTTTTATCCCACACAAGCAGATTGGAACGACGGTCCAGATTACTACGACTGTTTAGGCTATCATCCCATATTTTCGTTTGAAGTTTCAAAAAAAAAAACTGAAGCAAAAATATGTTCACCCGGGACAAATGCTGTCCTGCAGGTATGAAAGCGTTTTCCATTCCTTCCAAAGGATGTTTCATTTCCGGTCCCACCCAGGGCTTCCACGGCTCTTCGACTTCTGAATGATCTCTTAAAAAGTCCGTACTCTAATATTTTCACTTAAAAACCGTAAAATAGTAATGCTTACTACGATAGTATGGGCTGGGAACATTAGAAATCCAATTGTCGATATTTTGAGCGATTAGCTGGTGAAGCACTTTCATTTCTGGTGGGTTGCGAGGTTCGAGTGGGAACATATCGTCGCAATGAGCACTATCTGAATATTATTCGATTCCAGTAACTTCAATTCTTTTTTTAAATAAATATACTAACTACCTATATTGGTTTCTGATACTTTTAGGAAAATACTGTTCTGACAGGCGGAAATTGGGCAGTTTCGAGAGGTGAAGCTTCCCTAATCCAGGAGTGTTGACGGAATTCGAAATGCAAGATTCAATTTTTCCGTGCGCGTTAAAGGCAGCGATTACGATAGGTTCAAGAAGGTTTAGAGGAGACGTGGTGGTGCTCAATGGTACGCCAGTGGCGAAAAAAGCGGAGAAATCCGTCAAGAAAACGCAAAACGGGACCTCCTTTTTTGGCCGTCCGTTTTCGAGATGCTCCAGTTGTGCCGCTGCTGGCAACGCAGCTCGTCCAAATCACCAACTAAACTAGTGGGCGGATCGCTTTTGGGGGCGGAGTGCTTTCGAAGTCCTGCTCAGCAACCAGCGCACCTTTCGTCGTGAAAGCGCTACACCTCGCTTCCCTGGCAGCCAAGTAACTGATTCGTGTGGTGCATATGCTTCCCCGATGCGCTCCCTCTTTATCGTAATCGCTGCCTTTAAGTAATTCTGACTATGCGGTGTAGATCTTAGAAGTGCACCTTGAAACAATCACCCCAGATTGGCCGTATGAAGCGATATATACTGTGGGCAGGATAGAGTGGCCTAGGATTGTTACAGAAGTGCCGTTGTCACCACTCAAAACCCCTTGATAAAAGACTAGGGCCTTACAAAGTGAGCTAACGAAAGCGAATGTGAGCTACTGGACGAGATGCCTCGCGTGTATCCCGTGACACCAAATTACGACGGATTACGACGTAACGGCTAATTCGAATACGAATTATAAAGTCGTGGAGCAAGCAAGCTCGGAAAACTCGTCCAGATCCGCCCCTTCTCCATCTCAAAGAGGGAGAGAGAGGGTCCTTGTTTGGAGTTCATTCGCAGTGGTTGCATTTCTTTCTTTTTCGCTCAACTCAGCATTCACACTATCATTATCGACCGCTGTTGCCCAAAAAGTTTGATCCATGGTGGTTGCTTCAAAGCAAAGAGAACTCCTTAGTAAGTTTCTAAAGGGCGTTAGACTCATTCGGCTAATGGGAAATATAATGACTTTTTATGCGAAAAATTGTCGAGGAAATTTTATAATGAACGCGTTAAAGTTTTCGCCAGAAAATGACGGGAAAATTTCCGAAACGCATGAGTTCATTGTTCGGACCATGTACTTCATACACACGCCAATCGAAAAAGGGTGCTGTTTCTGAGAGAAATGCTTTATCAAATGGACGTGAAAAACGTGTTTGGTCCAGTTGAATATACAAAAAATGCAACTCGATTCGAAATGTTTGCGAATATTGCCTAGAGTAGTACCTTTTGACAAGCTCTCACCGCTGTCACAGGACCATAGTTTCTGTTTGACAGCTTTGTGGAAATTTCAGAGTGATCCCATCCCATTCTACCGTTTTTGAAAAAGTGACGAGTGCTGATTATAATTTCCAAAAATCACGCGGTATTTGGTCCATAAAGTCCTACCCACTCAAAATTTTGTGTATTTTCACAAGGCCCTTCCCAAACAAACTTGATGTCTTCCATACACATTCTGCATTTCCATGGAACAGCATTTTTTGTGCATGGAATTGATCGGTCTCGTTCAGGAATGCGCCGTGCGCTCGTCATTGAGCGACAATTAGCGCGAGTCGCGGCACCAATTCCCCCGCGAGCTGTCGGTACACTCTCTGTTCATTGGTGATCCCGGCACTAACGACCCCTCCCACTGGACCAATTACGACCCCTTCGTCGAGGATTTCTCGACACACGCTTGACTCGGGTTCCGATTTTCAGTCCCTCAATTCATATGTGACGTGACAGTGCTCATGAAAAGTGTAAAAGCCGACTGACTCGGAACGAGATACGGAACAACTGTGGGATCCTTTGATGTCAGTTTGCTCACCAAACTCCATGGGTCGAGCGCACCATTAGGAATCACGACGTTGGTGCCCTGAAAAATTCCTTAGTTTTACTGCTTCTAAAGATGAAAATTCGGAGGTTCTCATTCCGTCCCAGGCTTGAAGATGAGATAAACTCGATATTCACAGCTGCTGTATGGCTTTTGTACGAGATTGTCTACGTGTACGAGATACGACCGAGACATCCTAGCCACTCGAAACTTAGGAGCTGGTCAGCTGATTAGCCCTGCTTAACCCTTTGGCAACCAATAATCGGATGTTGGGTTACTACCTTTCATTTTCCTTTTCACGCATTTGAATCACTTTCAATAATCAACCGTGTGTAGCAGGCTTTATAGTGTATCGGATGGCTATTTTCAACATGGTCCCCAGAAAAATATTTAATAGATAGGTAAATTATATGGAATTATAGTCTGTGG